TTTCCTTAAACTTTCCTTAAATGTTCCTTGCAAATGTCTGTTTGGAAAAATACATGGTTTATTTCGACAGGTGTGTTATGTTTGATAACGTATGATGATGACCTGTTCGAAAAAACTTGTCTCATCTTCACTTTATACATTGGATGTGTGAAGTAACGTCTTTCTACCAAGATGAAATTCTAATGTTTACGAGGAACCCCTCGACAGGTGAGAAATCTTCAAAGAACTTTCAACCGATTCAGTGTCTATGAAATGTATCTTATTACATAGGAGCATTACGTACTAATTTTTAAACATATTTTGAAAGCACCGATCACCGAGAAATGGGGTGATGGACAGAACAATGTCCTTCAGTCCATGGACTAAACCCCGTTGGACAACTCAAATGGACTACCCTAGCAATTTCACCAACCCTTCGATGTTTTTTCATTTCGTTTTCGTCAGTCACAACGACCACCACGAAAGCAATTATTTTAGAAATTCAAAATCCTTCGAAATATAGCGTGGTCCAATTGAAGTTATTTTCTTAAATATCAGTCACAAAGTAAGGCGAGAAATCGATAATATTAAATGTCCTCTAGTATTAATTTAGATTGACGCTGATACAAGATGTATTTACAGGACTTGCACAGCCATTTTAAGCTGCATTGTATACATATTTATGGTCAAGAAGAGCAAACCCTTTTTTCCATTTTTTAGTGATTTTCTTTTTCTTAATGAGTTTAATATTTTATCATGGTGATTTATTGCATTGCTTATCACAGGTTGTTAAGCATTAAAATAAGAGCTCAAAATTAATAGAAGGTTAATCCCTTTTACAAAATTCAAATTTCTGATTGTGTTCTTCAAAGTTATTTTTAGTTATGTTCTTCAGGCATTAAACATTCTCCCCTCAAATTTTGAATTAAAAGGCTGAAATGTTAATTTCTCTGACTTTTGGAATATCTCACCTCAGTATCTTTTTCAACAAGTTTCATCATAATCAGTTGAAAATCCCTCAGCATGTTTCTGTTCTGGAACATTTTCTTGTGGACAAAGAGACTTATATGTAAGAATGTTTGTTATTCATAAACTGTGTGGTATAGAAAATGAATTTGAGATAACACTAAATGAACCTTAATTTGTAAAACTTCTTTCAAAATGAAGAATGTGCAATTATTTAGGACAAATAACAGCCTTTCAAACAGAAACACTTTGCTTGAAGATTATAGTCACCTTTGCATTTTCATTCCAAGAGAACTTATGAATTGGCATGATTTATTTCATGTGAAAGAGATTAAACTGGAAAAAAGAAGAGCATTCAGTATCTTTCTTTTAAAGTCATTAATTTACTTAACATATTTTCATGCGTTTGAACTCTGAATCAGGACATTAAAAATTGGTTGAGCTGAATTAAGGTTTTTTCAGGGCTCAGTGAACTTAGTGAACTTTCATCTTAGTTTTGTTTTAAACCTTTGGCACAAGCAGGACTGATGTGAGTACCTTTGTAACTTTGTTCTTTTCTAATTTAGTTTTCCAGCATTGGGCAAAAGTATTCAAACAGATATTTTGTTGTAATGACACATATTCAATTGATTTGAGA